TGAGAACTGCTGTTAAGATGATCTCTATGGTCCTGAGTTGGACCCTGAACTTTAATGTACTTTATTCAGTTTTACATGTACAGGGACAATGCAGATTAATAGACATTCCTGTAAATGTGTAAGTTTAGCCAACTTTCCAATTAGTATCAGTAACCCAACTTTTTTTAATCTGGAAGAGGTGGAGTACAAAGGTGGAGAGGAGGAAAGGCACCCTAAAATAAAGCCTTGGCACATCAGCAACTAGGGGTCAACAACCTGCAGCTCTTTTACTGCCCTGTTGCAGCTCCACAGCAGAATTATATTTTTAGGCAAAAATAAAATAATCCTCTTTTGCCATAAAATAAAGCTCAGCTGATCGTTCTACATCTATCATAGTTTTAACAATAAATGGTCTTAAACACTACAGTTAATGTATAACTGCTAATTCACTCACCTTTAACCCTGAAGGTTGGCGCACAGACTGCTGGTCACCATAGCAATGCAGACAACAACCTTGTCCAGCTAGTAGCTAATACAAAGACAAAGAGAAATATTTAAGACAAACATCGATAATGTGGAGATGAATGGACTTTTATGAGCACTCCAGCTCGTTCCCTGATACGTTTGATCTGCAAAAGTCACACAGCTGAAGTCAGCTTCACATTTGCCAGCTTCTTGTTTGAATTTTCCCTTTTCACTCTAAATAGTGCAGCAATTACATTCTGGCACCTTAGGCACCATTTAAGGTGAAACAGGAAAATTTGAACAAGAAGCTGGCAAATGAGAAGTTGATCTTAGCCTAGTAAAAAATTGAATGTTGAAAGATATTTTACAAGAAAACTGTTTACTTACTGTACTTCTGAGGAAAAGTGTCTTGCCAAAAATGCAAGAAAAGCATCTGTAGCTGAGCTAAAGCGTAAAGCAGAGCAAAGTAAGTCTGCTTTTGTTTATATTATACTTTTCTTTTATACGTAATTTTATATTTTATAGTACATTAACACATACTGAGACATATTAAAAGCCAAGATGGTAAATTGGACATAAAATGTTATGGCTCCCAAGGTGGTTGATTTTTGTTGAAAGGACAGAATGGCTCTTCTTAACATTTGGGTTGCTGACCCCTGATTTATACAGATTAACTTGTATCCTATGTGATCACAGTGTTGTATGAAATATTTACATTAGGCTATTTTTGCTTCTTCATCTGCCTGCATTTGCATTTACATTTGTTTACCCTCAGCAGTTTTCTTGCTTGTGTTTGGGCTGTTACTTCAAACCTATACTTTCCAAAAAAAAAGCCTGTATAGCACAGAATGTTTAACAATTTTTTTCATTTAATAATGGCCATAAATTATGTAAGTTATAAAATACTGTGTGAGCTAGGAGCGGGAAATAGAAAACCCAGAGCGGAAGTGGAGCTGATTACAGAAATGCTTCGAGCAAGGAGCGGAAATGTCTACTGCTCCACTCCACTCACATGCTCTGATGTTATAATTTCTTTTCAGAAAAATGGGAGAAATGGAATGGCCTTTCATCTTAGGGCGTTTTCATATCTAAAAGTCTGGAATGAGGTCTGAACCAAGGTTCGTGTGTTTTTACATTGTATACATTTGATCCAGTTAGTTTTGGGTGCACATTGCAATTTACCAAGCACACTAAAGAACTTTGCATGACATATCAACATCCTGTCGTCATCACCTATGTGGGCTGCATTTCCCTATATTTAACACTTACTGGTTTGTCGAGGAGCACGCGCGTGACATCAGCGTGTTGTCAATCCAGCTGGTAGCCTTTTCTGTTTGAATGGAGAAAAATTAATATCCTCTCTCTCATCCTCTCAGAAGTTGACTTTTGCCTTTTTTATTGGACCAAATTACAATTAAATTATTTCATCTCCTGCTCTCCCCTTGTGCTATCATTGCTTATTTTTACTTTTTGTTCTATTGTTTAATGGGTGACAATAGCCTACCTCAACTTATTGTAATTGGTCCAAAAGTCCAAACCACCCAAGAGTGTTTTCACACTGCAAACGAATAGAACCATATGAGCATGTTAAACTCATATTTAGGAACCATACTAAAATCAATAACAAAAAAAAAAATGCTAAAGTGGGAGTTATGTGTGTGCCTTCCCTTCTATACTCCTGCTATTGGGCACAGTGGTCCCATAAGGCTGTTTGTCTCTCACAGATCCAACTTCCTGCTCTAAGTGAGAGGAGAGCTGGGAAAACTGATCAGTCATAAAATCTAATGATATTGCCTTCTTGCAAAACAAAGTAACGCATCTAGTCCGGAGAGGCCATGAGCTGATATTTTTCTAGATTGTTATCTTGAGATAACAAGATAAGTAACTTGTTATTTCAAGATAACAATTTTATTATCTTGAGATAACAAGATAAGCAACTTATTTCAACATAATTTTATCTTGATAAATAACAAGATAACAAGATAAATAACTCGTTATCTCAAGATAACAACATTGTTATTTTTGAGATCACAAGATAACTCATTATCTTAGGACAACAACATTTGTTATCTCGTGATAACAAAATAAGTAGCTTGTTATTTCTAGATAAAATCTCAAAATAACAGTCCAGAAAATTATAACTACCTCATGGCCTCTCTGGACTTCCGTACACATCCGTTATGGCACCCCTCAGTTTCTTCTTGACACCCTTTGACTACTCTGTGTAGATCATAAATCTCTAAATTGGGACTGGCGGAGAGCTAGGGAGACGCATACCGTTAAAAATGAGCATGTTTCCTCGCCTCTCCTTACGGTCCCTATTGGTAGACACCCTGTACTGGCAAATTCAGTTGTGGCTGACATAATCTCAGAGACTAGAGAAGAAATATCGTTCAATGTCCAATTTCTCTCCTCCACCCTCGCCCCTCTCTTCGTCCCGCTTCTCTCACTGTTCTTTGTCGAGTGCCAATATCTTGTACTGAGGTCCCATTCACGCTCACACTCAACACACCCTCATGTGGTGGCCCGCGCACGAGAGCTTTTGCTTTGGGGAAACGCTGCTCAGATTTGCGTCTGTGAGAGGAGCACGGGGAAGGGGCTGAATTAAGTTTGCTTAGAATCAGGAAGTGGGAGGATCTGATTGCAGGGGGTGGGGCGGGGGGTTGATCGCTGAGACACGCCGCTGGATGAGTTGAGAGTTTGTCTGCGCTGCGGTACGAAGGGTACCCGGCGGTGCCCGAACCGACTGAAATCCGCGAACGACCACGGGACGTTTATCTGGAAACATTCCGAAAAAAGACGCACTACATCGGCTACTGGTGATATTTAACGCGATTCTGTTTCGCCTTCGTTGGAAGTGGAAACACGGATACGCTTTGTTGGATTTTCTGCTCTTCGAGAGCTGTTGGAGAATAGCACACGGGAGACGGTTTTTAACCTCGCATGGATTCTACAGCCTCGCGCTTTCTGTGAGAGATAACGTACCCTGACACAAAGGCACGCAAAAAGGAGGATCTATTAACAAGGGATTTTCATGGCGAAATCGTGAGATAAATAATTTTCTGCGTGTGGGAAGTTTTGGAGACACGATTTGAAGGATTTCTTGACTTGTGGGCGTTCTTGTTGTTTTCATATAGGCGAAACACATGGCTGCCTTTGTCCGAGAGACAGAGTAGCTTTTTGTGTATCGTCGTTGGGATTTTGGTTTTGGAAAGGCTTCTTAGTTCATATGGCTGCCTTCAGTTCATACGGAGTGGAGAGTGCCACTTATCTGTGGATTACACTGTTTTACAAGCAAAATGTGAAAGGAGGCCACGTTTACTAGACCGCGAAAGTGAATTTTGCTTGCTATTTTCTTCCGTGCCAACCCTACGACATTAAAAGGTAGCTACACGCAGTCGTGTTCTCTTTTTTCTCTGACCAGTGTACTAATTCGTGGTTTTTAATTACCCTTCGCTTTGTATTGTTTGTGTTGCCGTGCTAAGGATTGAAACGATGTTGCTGTTGGTGGTGAACTGAAGCCAGAAGCAATGAATGTTCCCAGATGTTCGGGGTTCTGGTTTCAAAACTGAAAAACTTTTGCATTTGCACATCATTATTTGAACGATTGTCTTGGAAATTTTGACGTCAAATAAACAGAAAAGAGATTGAGGCGTATTATTTGCGTGTCATTACAATATAAAACGTGTTAGTAGACTACTAGAGTATACGGTAGTGTTTTTTCGTATTAACATTGTTTTTCTTGTTAATAACAGTAATAACAACGATAATGCTAATAAGAGTAATACCAACGAGAGAAAATTTTTTTGCAGTAGTAGTAGTAATAGTAGTTGTTGTATCGGTGGTCCTGTAAACTTTTGCTGAATTTTACTACCTGGGAATTTTTCAGAGCTGTGTTTTTATACACTTTACTAATGGGAATGATTTACTCCATGCGAAAAAGGTAAGTAGTTGAAGTAAACGTAAGCCTAATTTATGGAGTTTTACAAGTGGCCTAATTTTCATCTGTAAAATTCATTTTACGAATGTCTTAGTAGCCTACATGAAATAATGCATAATGCATAATTCTCTGTTTATTATTTTGGAAATTAAGCAATTACTTAATCCCTTGACAAATGTTGAATAGCATTTAAATATTTGTAAGTCAATCCTAATAGCTCAAATGGCATTTACACCCGCCCGCATTAAATAGCAAGCTTCAGTCAGAAGAGCACGGCTTATATAGCTTAGAGATGGATTGAAATAGGTCAGTTTCTTTCACTTCTGATCTGTTTAAATTAGCTAGTGCCTCGTTGACACCACATTCTTGCGGAAATAGGCTTCCATTACCTAAATTCTTTGTAAATGCCAACACTGGATGTTCGCACAATAACACAGCGATGTCAGTACACTCAGCCGATTTCCAGAGCAGAGTGCTGTTTTTGCATGGACCCACAGTGCCAGCAAGTGGAGAGTTTGAGAACTGTGGGGACTTTTTCGAGTAGCGCCGATCCTTTGAAGATAAAGGCCACCTGGTCCGTCCTGAAGCAGATGCACTAACTCTCTCTGTCTTTCAGGGTTCAGATGCCAACTCTGAGAAATTCTTCAGAACAGCTGCAGCTACAGGTATGTGCCCTTTCCCCATTTGTTTTCAGTGTGTATCCCTGTATGCCACACTGTGATGACTCTCATTTTTGCTTTGTTTTTTTTTCATGCTGTTACTTGGTCTTACTTATTGGTAGTGCATTTCTGTTTTGTTGTTACATAGTTTATACTATGTAACCACAAAACAGAAATGCACTACCAATGGATGGTGTCAGCCATTTGTGGCTGTCTCATTGTGCCTCTATTTTGATGACACCTGCATTTTCTTGTCAATTAATGGAGCATCATATGTGTTGCTGGACAGCACATTATGTGGACATGTGCTACTGGGGACAAGGATCTTAACACAATATGAGCTCACTTCCCTATACCAACAATTTGCTCCTAATACCTGTGGAATTTGAGCTGGCCCATTTTCCAGCACCAGATAATGGAGACTGGTTCTTGTGAATTTACATTTCTTCATAGTAGTGTGTTACCAGATTGAGGAGTGCCGTGCAGGGTGTTTGGGAGGGAGGGCAGCTTGAAGGGATCTGACCCCAGGGAAGGTTTTCGAAAGAGGGGCTGACTGATCGCGACAAACCCCTTGTTCCGCCTCTTCCTTTTCTTTGCTCCCTTTGGGCCCTGAGCCCATTTCCCACATTCTGCTCTTTGATGGCCTTCAGGGCTTGATTTGTGGGCTTAGGCAGGCAGCTGAATGTCAGCACTCAACATAGATGGCTTTTCCTCTAGGAGACAAACATGTCACAGTGGCCGTTATGACCCCTTTGAAAGGATTAAACCACCCTTTGTGGCGTAAATCAACACAGGGTTGCCTTCTCAATCCATGAAAAGCCCTGGCTTGGGAAACTGTACACAAATAGTCTCAGCCATATCTTCTGCCAAGAAGTAAATTTGCATGTAAATGTGCATCTTTTCTTTCTCCTCTTCCTACTCCACTTCCCACTCCACTATGCCCTCCCTTAGTCTCCCCATATGCTAATGTGCATTAGGAAGGCGAATGGCATGGAAGATGTAGCCTTTTTTTAATGCAGGGGCTTAAGAATTTATCCTGCTGGTATTTTTAACAGTATTGCTCAGGAGGATAAAAGGGGACAAGTATGTTTATTTGTAGGATGTCTATAAAGGGGATTTCCAACTGTTCTAACTCTTGGTCGTGGTCTTGGATAAAGAGAGGAGATTCACAGCAAGCAAAGTATGAATGTAGTATGTATTTGGCTTAAGATTAGAGGTGAAAAGTGTACCTGTTTACAGTGTTTTGTGCGCACCACCCCTGATTTGAACTTTTGCACCAGTGTGGGAAGATAAGAACCAAAGCTTTCACAAAGCTGAAAGAACTGCTGTTAAATTTAACCTGTGAAAGATATGCATGTATGAGTACTGACAATGATACTTCAGTAATGTTAGCATTCCAATAATGTTAAACCATCATGTACAGCTTTTGTCAGTTTGTTGAAGTCTTGGAACATGTTTGTCTGGCCATAAAATAGAGTACAGTTCTTTTTTTCTGCTCTCTAATTCTTCCTTTATTTTCCACCTTGCTCTTAGTTGTCAGCCATGTTGCTCTTTTTCTCATCTAGACCATCTTCTATATAATGTATTCTCTATTCCATTGGCTACAACTAACTGGTGCATCTGTTAGTTACAGGTAGCCTACAGGTATCAGGCTTCAAGCCCTGCTCTATTCATATTGTTTATTTAAGAACTGTTTATATTAGATATATGAATTTTCTATGTATTATAATTTATACATTGTACTTTTTATGTATGTATATTCTTGATCAGAATGGTCGGCATGGGGCTGGACTTCATGTGTGTCTAGAATATGCTTGAGATATGAGTTGAGCTTATAGATCATTCACCAAAATGGACATTTCTAGAAGCTTTAACAGAGAAAGAACAAGAGTAAGGCCGTCATGTTTAATTAAAGATTAGAGTAAGCTGTAAGCAGATAATCCTCTAGATACCCATCTTGCTCTCCCTGCAGGCCACAATCTCTACCCATGCCCTGCCTTCTCTATTTACCATACCTTTCTCTTTTGCTGTTTCATTGATGCTCTCAGTGAAAGGCAAAGGCAAAAGGTACACTGGACTGTTGAGAAATATTTTTAACCGTATTGATTTCTTTGAGTGTCTCCAAATTTAGGAAACATGTTATTTCAAAACACCAACAGAGTAAATTTGTGTCTGTGTCAGTGTTCTGCCACTGAATCAGATTTTTCTCGTCTATATAACAAAATCTGTCTCTGCTCCAGGTACAATTTACTGCATGGTAAGAGCAAATAGCATGGCAGTAATACATTTGCTCATTCATAAACAAGGATTACAGGCAAATTTTACCTCTTGTGAGATGTGATGCATGGATGCATTATTTCATTATTTCATGTTATTTTGTGGATTAAATTATATTTTCTACAATGTTTCCATCCCACATGCAAAAAAATCACATGTACATATCTTTGGATGGAGCAGCATGACAAACCTTATAACTGCTGTTGTAGGAGGACAGAGGAGAATTAAAGACCTCTGGCTTGAGCCAGATTTTACATTCGCAGATTTAACTGGCACTGTATTTAAAGTGGCTTTTTCTTCCTGCATGGAGAATCAGAGTCCTGTGTGTGGAAAGTAGGTTTTGGAAGTTGAATTGGAAGTTTAATTTTTGCATGTGTACACTGAATTTCTGAAATAAAATTAAAGCAAAACAGGAAAATAAAAGCAGTTTTGCCTTAGTTTGCCACAGTAATTAGAATTTCAGCATGTTCATTTAATTTTCATTTGTAATAAAATACCAGATGTTAAAATATAATTTATGTTAGTAAAAAATTCCATATATAAATGTTCATTTAATGGTAGTACTTTACAAATCATAATAAGTTGTATTTAACTAAAAATGACATGCTATTTTTTTAGCTGTTACTATATTAGTAATTGCAGCAGTAACAAATCAGTAATAAATTGGTAAAATAATGAAAACAATTTGTACTTGTTCAAAAATTAAATGCTTATATACTTGTTGTTAATAAACAATAGGTTAAGATAAAGAAAGATAAACTGGTAATATGATGATATTTGTGGTGTAGTTTGAGTTTTGAACTTAGTTATGAGCCTTTTACAGATATTTTACCAGTGCTGTATAATAGAGTGACAGTATTTTGTTAAAAGTTAACACAAAAGGGACATGTTTTGTATTTTGCAGCCCTGATTTTTGTATATTTACTTTATCTGTTCCTGGGTGACAACACTGGTCTGTAGGTACGCCTACATGTAAAAGCAATAGAACAAGAACTGTTGTTATCACTTGATGAGATGCAGTAACTGATAAACAAGACAGCAATAAGTAAGTGTGCATTTTATAGCTCTAATATCACATAATTTCATCAGATATAATAAAATATAATATACACACACACACACATCCTCTAATCCGCTTATCCTTACGCGGTCGCGGTGGGGTGCTGGAGCCTATCCCAGCTGTCATTGGGCAGAAGGCAGGATACACCCTGGACAGGTCACCAGTCCATCGCAGGGCAGACAGACAGAGATACACATTCACACACACACTCACACCTAGGGGCAATTTAGCATGTCCAATTGACCTGACTGCATCCCTTTGGACTGTGGCAGGAAACTGGAGAACCCGGAGGAAACCCACGCAAACATGCAAACTCCACACAGAAATGACTAAAATATAATATAATATAGTAAAATATAGTTTGTTGGCATTTTTCCATTTTATTACTAACTTACAACTGCTATGAACAATCAGTACAATCAGTAATTTAGTATATATATAGACTCAGCATTATTGGTGCTTTCATAGATGTGCAAGTCAGTCGTGCCGTGTGCACAAATGCACCCCATATCATCACGGAAGATGGCTTAACTATGTGTTAATAAAAGCTGGATGGTCCCTCTGCTCTGTGAGCTTGGGCCCAGGCAGCAGTGTTTCTGGATCTTGTTTGTATATAATTTCCTCGTTGCATGGTACAGTTTTAACTTGCATTTGCAGCAATGAACTGTGTACACAGACAATGCTTGTTAGAGGGCAGTGATCTCACTACAGTATTGTGTCTGTTTTTAATGTGGTGCCGCCTTAGAGCCCGAAGATCAGGCCAGCCAAGAGTCAGTTCTATACAGAGATTTCTCCAGATTCTTTGAATCTTTTAATGATATTTCGTACCATATATGATGAAATCCCCAAGTTCTTTGCCATTTTATTTTGAGAAATGTTGTTCTTAAATTGTTGCACTATTTACCTGCGCAGTCTTTCACAAAGTGGTGAACCCCTCCCCATTCTTATTTCTGAAACACTCAGCCTCTTTGGAATGCTCTTTTTATACCCAATCATGTTACCAGTCTTTTGTTGCCCCATCCCAATTTTTTGAAGCATGTTGCTGGCATCTAATTTAAAATAGGCATATATTTTTCAAAAAACAATAAAATTTGTTAGTTTGTCAACATTTTCTATTTTCAATTAAATATGGGGTTTAAATTTCATTACTGCATTCTGGTTTTATTTATGTTTTGCACAGCGTCACAAGTTTTTTGGGAAAGGGTTCTACAGTGAAAAGTAACATGAGAAGGCTGTCCCCCCTAATGTAACTTTATTAATTTTAGGTACTAATAGTAAGCCAGCATCTAAGTAGGCATAATGGTTCATAGTAAGACAGAAGTTCACTTAGGTACTGAGGGGCGAGGCCATTTAGAGCTTTATAAGTCAGTAAAAGAATTTTGTAATTGATGCGAAATTTAACTGGCAACCAGTGTAGATTTGATAAAACTGGGCTGATATGGTCAAACTTTCTGGTTCTTGTGAGGACTCTGGCTGCAGCATTCTGGACTAACTGAAGCTTGTTAAGGCTTTTACTGTAACATCCAGACAGCAGGGCATTACAGTAATCCAGCCTTGAGGTAATAAATGCATGAATTAGCCTTTCTGCATCCTGTAGAGACAATGCATTTCTTAATTTAGCAATATTGCAGAGATGCAGGAAAGCTATTCTAGTATTATTTGTTATATGTGCATTGAAGGCCAGATCAGGATCTATCGTGACACCAAGGTTTTTTACAGATGTACCTGATGCAACTGAGAAACTATTAAGTTTAAGCATTAAATTAGATTAGATAGTTTGTTTCTAGCAGCTTTTAGACCAAGAAGAAGAACCTCTGTTTTATCTGAGTTGAGTAGTAGAGAGTTACTTGACATCCAGTCTTTTATGTCTTTTATACAGTCCTCAATCTTGTTAAGTTAAAGTTTATCATCTGGTTTCGCTGATATATATAACTGTGTGTCATCCGCATAGCAGTGGAAATTAATGCTATGTTTACCGATAATGGTGCCCAGTGGTAGTATATATAATGTGAATAATATAGGACCTAAAACAGAGCCTTGTGGAACACCATACTTTGCTTTTGCAAGAACAGACGATTCACTGTTTACATTTACAAACTGATAGCGATCAGTCAGGTAAGATATGAAACAGGAAAGAGCTATTCATGTTACTCCTCCAAGGTTTTCTAGTCTCTCTAGTGAGATAGAGTGGTCTATTGTATCAAATGCCACACTAAGATCAAGGAGGACTAGCAAAGATACATTTCCTTGGTCAGAGAATAATATGAGATTGTTTACAATTTTCACTAGTGTTGTAGTATGATTTCTATGCAAATAGGAACTTATTTGTTTTGCCACAACTTTTTCCAAGACCTTTGATATAACAGGGAGATTTGAGGTCTATAATTTGATTGCTCGCAGGTATCAAGATTAGCTTTCTTAATTAGAGGTCTAGTTACTGCTAGTTTAAGAGTTTTTGGAATATAGCCAAGGCTAAGAGAGGAGTTTATTATTGACAGAATATGCTTGGTTATTTCTAGGAAAACTTCTTTGAGTAGGAATTGGATCTAATATGCAAGTAGAAGATTTTGATGAGGAAATAATTAGCTCAGTATGTTGAAGTAAGGTAAACGATTCCAGCCCCTCTGCAGCAGTAGTTACAATATTCTTAAGATCTGGATTGGCTTTGTAAGGCAGCATGTTTGTAGAGTTAACTGGGTGTTCTGAATTTTTGCCTGATTGTTTTTCCATTTTATTACTGAAGAAATTAAAAAAATCATTGCTGCTGTAGGCTGATGGCATCAAAGGTTCAGTAACTATTTGGTTCTTAGTCAATTTAGTAATAGTGCTAAATAATAATCTAGTATTATTCTTATTATTTTGAATGAGAGAGGAGAGAAAAGTTGAGCGTACTCTTCTGTAGTCTATAAGGCTTACCCTCCAGGCAGACTGGAATACTGTTCTGTAAGTAAGTCTGTTTTCAAGCTCGAGTATGATCATTATACCATGGGGCGAGCTTTTTCTGCCTTATTATTTTACTCTTTTAATGGAGCCACATTATCTAAAATAGAACGAAAAGTATTCTCTAAGCACTTGATCATAATATCTAATTTGGTAGGATTAGATGGACAGCTGATTGAAACTGATAACTGTGGGAGGATTAGCATTTTCTTTGTCATGAACACCTTGCACAGCTACATATTGCAGAGATGCAGGAAAGCTATTCTAGTATTATTTGTTATATGTGCATTGAAGGCCAGATCAGGATCTATCGTGACACCAAGGTTTTTTACAGATGTACCTGATGCAACTGAGAAACTATTAAGTTTAAGCATTAAATTAGATTAGATAGTCTGTTTCTAGCAGCTTTTGGACCAAGAACAAGAACCCAGACCCAAAACCAAACCCAGATTGGTTCATCAGGGTGCCAAAGAGTGAAGCGTGATTCATCCCTCCAGAGCATGTAAAGGTTTCCTATCCTCTGTAGCATTCCTCAATACAGAGTTCCAAACTGCCTCTGGAAGAAACATCAGCCCAAGAACTGTGCGTTGGGAGTTTCATGAAATGAGTTTCCATAGTTGCACACAAGCCTGTATGGTATATATGGTATTCTTGTGCTGCTGCAAAACTCCCTGTAAAATCTGAAATATTCATTCCAAGGTCAGAGTTGTTGACTGTTGTCGGATTTGGCGGGAAGTTTTTCAGACCACATCAGATGTCTTTATGTATTGACATTACATGCACAGACTTAAAAGAAGGTCTGGCTGGATATGGGCCCGTTACCTGAGCAGCGTTGGTGAGGGTGTTGAAAGTTAACTAGTAAAAGGAAGGAGAGAGATGTCTGACACTGGAAAGGCACACCTAATCATCCTCTACTGCGCCACCTGTGGTCGATGCACATAAACGCAGAGCTGAAGAAAACCAGTGTTCTGACAGTTCATCTTACCTATCGAGAGATCTTACTGAGCATACGCATCATTAGTACAGCATAGTATTTGGCATGATTTTTTTTTTATTGGTAGCTATTCCATTCTTAGTACTAGAATTTTTTTACAGACATTAAGATGACGCTGATGTAAACGAGGGAAAAGAGGCAGGCTTCTGCTCCGTCTGCGTGTCCAGTGTGATCGCTGTTGGAGTCTGTTATATGAATCAAATAAACAGATTTGATTCAAGTCAAGAGGCTTTTATTGTCATTCCATCTATGTACAAGTACACAGTGGAGCGAAATTACGTTCCTCCAGGAACAACACGGTGCAACAAGGAACAAAAAGTACAAAGTACAAAAATACAAAAGTACAAAGTGCGAACGTGCAGACAGTGTGCAAACAAGGATTAAGCTAGAAACAATACAATAAATACAATAAATTAAACAGACATTAGACACAGTTAACAGACCAGACAGTGTAGCACCGACACAGCACAGATTTCTGGACACTGGAGGTAGTGGAATAAGGTGCAGACATTTTTAACGTGATGTGATCTGTAAATTATGATTCATATAACAAGAATCATGAAAAAATATAACAAGATTCAAAAAAACATGAATCAATATGATTCATATAACAGATGGTTTATACAAGTGTCTTGGATACTTTTTCCTGCGACGTTCATTGGAGGAGCTGCAGCCGGGTTTTACAGCACTATTGTGTGCACACTGCGAAACCCGTAGTTGGGTTTGGTGGGGTGAACCTAAATAATATATCTTAAACCCCTGCCTTTTGCCTTTGGTTATGAGACATTTCTCAGATGCTAAGCTAGCACTTTTCAATGTTAGGTCCTTGTCAAAGAAGGCGTTTGTTATGCGAGGCTTTGTAAAGTGAAGTGAAGCGTGATTCATCCCTCCAGAGCACACTTTTCCATTGCTCCAGAGTCCAGGGCGGCACACTTTAGACCACTCCATCCAATGCTTGTTGTTGCGCATAGTGATTTTAGGCTTGTGTGCAACTATGGAAACCCATTCCATGAAACTCCCAATACACAGTTCTTGTGTTGATGTTTCTTCCAGAGGCAGTTTGGAACTCTGTATTGAGGAATGCTACAGAGGATAGGAGACTTCACATGCTTCAGCACTTGGTGGCCTCTCTCTGTGAGTTTGCGTTGTCTACCGCTTTGTAGCTGAGCTGTTGTTGCACCTAGGCACATTCATTTTTATCCATTGCATCTTATGATAGTGCCAACCTTAAAGTCACTGCACTCTTCACAATCCCAAATATGCAGGTGTTTGAAAAGTTCAAAGAAACTATTCCTTAAGTGAAAGTTTGGATATCATGTCAAAATCTTTCTGATTTAAAAGTGGACATATGTGGCCAAAAAGTTTATTTGATCAAGTCCAGATTCGGGAAAGTACGAGTCACATTCCTAGTCAAGACAGGCTAGTACCAGGCCAAGTCCTAAAACAATATGGACAAGTCTAAAGTGAAATCCTAAGTCTTAAACTTCAAGTCCTGAACAAGTCAAAATGCATTCTTTACCAAATTTAATGACATTTTAACATTTAATGGCAATAAATCTAGTTAGTATCATCATCATGTGTCACAGTCACATGAAAACATACATAGCAGTTATAGCACAAAGATTTAATTGCAAGTGTTAAAACCTGACTCATGGATAATGTATCTTGTCATGGCTGAGTAACTGCTGAGTAATGCTACTGAGCTAAAGCTGATAGACAGCTTTCATTATCCTTGTCGTTCAGCAACCAGAGAAATTTTGCAGCCAAATGGTCACAGAAAAATATTTAGAAGGAAAATTAAAAATATAAACTTTAAAAAGCAATCATTTAAAGTTAATATACTACTATTAGCAAGATTTAATACACTACTATTACTACTTACCATTACTAGATATAGCGAACATTAGATAATAAGTTATAGGGATGGACATGGGTATTCGCATACAGAGTTATCCAAACTCATCATACTTTGTAAGGTAGGTAAAATTTGTTTATTAAGATTGAAAGAATTTGCATTACTGAGTAAAGAGCACAAAAACTCTTGTGCTGCTGCGAGTCTCCCTGTAAAACCTGAAATATTCATTCAAAGGTCAGAACCGTTGAGTTTTCCAGACCACGTTGGATGTCTTTATGTATTGACGTTGCACACACACACAGACATAAAAAGAGGGTCTGGCTGGATATGGGCTCGTTACCTGAGCAGCGCTGGTGGGGGTGTTGAAAGTTAGCCAGTAAAAGGAAGGAGAGAGATGTCTGACACTGGAATGGCAAACCCGATCATCCCCTTCAGCGCCACCTGTGGTCAATGCAAAGAAACGCAGAGCTGAAGAAAACCAGTGTTCTGACAACTCATCTTACTTTATTTATCTGACATTCCAGTGTCAGATAAATAAACAGATTTGATTCATATAACAGATGGTTTATACAAGTGTCTTGGATACTTTTTCGTGTGACGTTCATTGGAGGAGCACTGTGTTTGGCTGCAGCTGGTTTTTACAGCACTATTGTGCACACACTGGGAAACCTGTAGTTAGGTTTGGTGGGGTGAACCTAAATAATATACATTAATCCCCTGCCTTTTGCCTTTGTTTATAAGACATTTCTCAGATACTAAGCTAGCACTTTTCAGTGTTAGGTCCTTGTAAAAACAAAGCATTTGTTATTTAACGGCAATACATCTAGTTAGTATCATCATCATCATGTGTCACAGTCACTGGCATCTTCCAATGGCATCAATATTTTTGTTTCTAGTGGCGAGAACTGGCAACTAAATGAACTATGTCCCTCGAATTATTATTATTGTTATTATTATTATAAACTCAGTTTAGTAGCTCAGTTTTAAACATTTTATTGTGTTTTTAATTTTAATTCAACACAAATACAGCTTAATATTACTACTTATCCCATCATGAGGTGATTTAGGCTATCAGAAAAAATTGAATTAATTGTTTAATGCTGGCAACATTTTCTGATAAGGACATTCACCACCTTCTTGTTCGATTTTTTTCTTTGATTTTAAAAGCAGAACTATTTCAAGAATATTACACACATACAGTGGGATAGGATTATATAACAGAGAGAATGCAGTGATCCACACTCGTGTTTGTGTAATATTTATGTGTGGATATGGCCGTGTGGTGAAGCACAAAGAACTTCAGCCTCGTCATTCTTACTGTACATTGGGGAGTTTATTAATGTGCTTTGGGGAGTTTATTGACATTATTTTTATGTTCGTTAAGATTAAAAGTGAATCACACATTGATGGATTTGCTGATGTATGTGAGATTGTGCTTCTACCAGAGCTTGTGCTAAACTCAGTTTTTAACGTCAAGCGCAGACTGAATACTTCCCTGCTGCTCTGGACTGATAATCAGCACTATCACAGTTATTAAAGAGAAATACAAGCTACCGAGAGGAGTTCATGCAACCTAGATTGGTCTATGTCTGAGGATTATAACAAAACACATTTGATGAAAATCGGTTGAATAATAAGGACGTTATGGCCAGTTTAATCATGAGAACTCTTAATACACGTGTATTTGTTTACAAGAGGATCTTGACTGCTCCAGCATAGCGGACGCACAGACGTATCGCCTCAGATAGAAAACAACAGGCAACACTGCGTCTATGTATTTATATCTATGGGGTAGAAGCATTGCATCGGCCAGATTCATTTGCATTAAGTTCAGCTCTGCTCAACTTTTTGACTCAGGCACCTGACCTATTATGCACCGCGCAGCAGAACTTATACTTCTCATTGAAAACGCATTGTGGTGCGTTTTTTTTGGTTTTTTTTTGGTTTTTTTTGATGATGTAGGCTATCAAAATATCTACCTAGAGGTTTTAGATAGGGAGCTTTTTTAAAATATGCGCCATGATAGAACATTTCGACAAAGGAAGAGCAACAGGACTTGAGCTAAGACCAGAATCAGCATTGATTTGGCTTTTTAGAAGTGGCAAGAAATCCATGATCTGAATGGATCCAGGAGTGATGCTGATTTTTTATTTATTTATGTTTTTTGCTATAATGGTAGTTATGGTAGTTGTTTGCTAGGTAGTTACGTAAATAACCAGCCAGGTTATTACTGTTGTGGAATTTAATGTTGCTTTTGTAACATCATATATGCTCATAAACGAAGCTGTTTTAGCTGCAAAGGTAGCAATAGCTGGTTAATTCGCTAATATTGGCTGACTGAGTTTGTTCTGCTTGGAAAACTTGTAATTGTGACGTGGTTTAAGCTGTATAGCTAACATTGGCTGGCTAATTTGCTAATATTAGCTGATTACTTTGCTAACATGTCTTTTTTGCTTCAGAGTTTGTCCTCTATTGTCTAACCAGGCTAGCCATTATTCGCAGATAATTTCTAGTTCTACTGTCCGTCTCCTTCCTTAAACGCAAACAGTACGAAATATACATGGATAACAATACCTAGGCTTACATAACTAATAGACACGTGCTACCCAGTTGCCATATGAATAATAATGCTAGTTAGCCATCAGTTGTCTGTGGTGGAGCAGGTAACATATGCATATTTTTCCCTTCTGTTATGAAAAAGAGCTGTTCAGATTAATCCACTCAGAGAAGGGGACCACAGCACAACCCACGTTACAAAATGTTTTTCTGCACATTTTGTGCAGTTAAATATTTCCACCAGAGTGGTTGCTAATTTCCCAAATTTGCAGCCTCAATTGGGTATTCGAATGAGGCTTGGGAAGTTTGTAGTATCAGGATCTTGGATTTTATAGCAGGGGTGCTTGCTGTACTGAAATCCGGCAATCATTAAATTATCTTGCTTATTTAACATAATAGTGGCTCATAAATGGCTGCAGCATTAAAGCATATGGCAACCTTTAACCACTTTCTTCACAGTTTCTTGCTTTTCTCTTGTGATAAAAAAGTCTCTTCATTGCTTGTTTAAGAGATTCAATTGACCACCCCATTTCAGCAAAAACAGCAAGTTCTTCATGCTGGCCCGGCAGACTCAAAAGGCCTCTGTAGCTGAGCAAGGTTTTTGAATGATAAAATTACAATTACTGCCAATAAAATCGAGACCTGTGTAGTATTATTTTATTCTCTTCTCTCTCTTCTCTCTGTTCTATAACGTCCACAAATAATTCAGTTGCTCGGAGAAATTTAGCAACTTGTGTGTAGTGGCTTCTGTCAGCAGTGTTGTGTTTCTTCTCTGCGGCTTAAATAAAAAGCTCTGCAGTTTACATAAAACATCATTCATACTAGGCATGTGTATTCCAACTAATTCTGATATTTGAGTCTTTGCAAGAATTAATCAACAGATTTCCAGTTAATCATGGAGAAGGAAAAAACATGAAAAACAGCCCAAATAAAAGGGTACTCTGGCCAAAATTAACCAAGGGCTGGAGCTGAAGCCTTTCAGATGATTGACTTGGTGTTAAGAAGTTATAAAAATCAGTAGCACAACAATTTAACAGCCAGCAGAGGAATAATCTACATTTGAAAATATGTTTTTTATTATTCAAAGAATGCCAAGGGAAATCAGTAGTTTTTATGTTGGATGAAACAGGCTAGCCCTTCAGATGTGAGCTGAAACTGCAGCTAACTGACACAACACTGGATGCTGATGAGGGTGGTGCAAGGGGTGAGCTAAGAGGGTTTAAGCCCACTCATTGCAGCCTGCAAGTTAGTAGTTGTGGTCATGTATGCAGCTGAAGTTGGCTTAGTTGTGCTTTCAAGTGCAAGTGGATTGGTAGTTTTCTCAGAGAAGGAACTCATCCACCCAACGTACATGTTTATAGATTCTCATTACCATCATGTCTGAACAGTTTATCTGATTGCTTTCCATTTTTGACTGTTTGCATCTATTCTCCACCAAGTTTAAATTAGCAATGAACTTGTCAGTTTTTATTTGACCTTCTTGTTTGAATGTTAAGGTGCCTACACGCTAGAAGCTGACGCAACGTCAGTCCTCCGGTGTATTTCAGTTAGGTCGCTGCGTTAGCTCTGTCGGACTAGAAACGTGCCTGTATGCAGTGAAAAGACGCATCATCGAATGTCATAAAAGTTCAAACTATTTCAACTTTTGCTGCAACGCATTCTGACATGGAGGCACGTGAACTATTAGAAACGTACAGGCAGAAATGGATGAAAATCCAAGATG